CGTTTCGACAAGATTTTGTCATCATCAACCTTGTCGAAATGTTGTATATTTGCTGTTATGTTAAACTTATATTAAAGTTTTCTTCATTACCCATTCAAGCCGTCTCCAGCCATTATTAGTCTTAAAGTGGGTTCCTCGTCATCGAATTTACCTTTAGTCTATCAATGCTAAATTAAGAACGGTTAGCGCAGATGGCCCTCGAGTAGCTATGCGCGAAATTCAAAACAAACAAGACATAAAAATAACCCACCAAAATTATATATGAATGGGACACTTCTTCCGACCACAACTTCAGCACAATTTTTAGGCCTAACTTACGATTCTAAATTAACGTGAGTTAAACATATTAACAACAGTTTGGAAACAAACAAATTATGCAAGAAGTCTAACTGGCAAAAATCATGGAACCACACCAGATAATACTATCAAAATATTCAAAACATACATACGCCCAGTCATAGAATACGTATGCCCAGCGTGGATAAACATAGCACCTAAACAAACAAACAAATTACAAATAATACAAAAACTCATTACTTATAAAGTACCACGTAGCACATCATCCAAATTCATGCACAACTACAAAAACACGAAAATTATCTCCCATAGACTCTTGCATAAATCTTTAAATTACTTTATGAATAATTGGCATAAAAACGACCTACTGTGCAAACTTGATCGCTACTGCATACATGATGGAAATAGACCTAAGCACTTCTCGCCAGTTAACATATATTTTAGAAATAAAGAGCTAATCAGGTCACCTGACACTGGACTGAACAACCTACATCAGTTTTAAACTAAGCTGAAAACATATAAAAGAATTTTATATGTAAAAATGTTCTCAAAATTAGGATTACAACTAGTGAAACGTATGTGTTTCATACTGAACTGCTCGTGAAGTCCAGGACTATGTAATATCGAACACAAGCGAAGGTGTATACAACACATAAATGTAACTGCCGATACCTGCACGGACATTGCCCTGAAAGGGGTCGGTGTAGGTGGGGTTTACTCTGACTCTCATGTTCTATCTACACATACATTCTTAAGCAACCATATAACATAGTACAGGAGGGAGGAAGAGGTCAATGAACCTGACCCTCCCGACAAAGAGAAAGAAGAAAAAGAGAAGGCTTATCACATATATAACATGGTTTAAAGTAACTTCCTTGTATTTAAATTCTTACTTCAAGGTGAACTGAAGATTGTGACTCATAATCATTTATTTAGTTTATAGTTGATGTTCATTATAGAATAAAAAGAAACGTAGGATTATTTGGTCGACTCAGTGTAGGGTTAAATTTCTTTTATTACCTTCTTTTTTAATTTGAGCACGCAGATAATCATATTCAACATTTACTAAAATTCGTTGTTTATGTTATAGTTGTTGTTATTCCCCCAGATGGAGCTTATCTTTATGCAATTAGCGAACAACAGTTTTAATACCTAACAGTAAGTGCTAAAACAGCGCTATGAGACAGAATGAAAAAATAGTTCAACAGGTAAACCTTTAAGTATCCCAAATGAATAATTCCTATGATTGAATTAAAAACGATGTTTTGGATGCAATTAAAATCAGATGGTAAGAGATTTTCGTGATGTTGCTGTTTAATATTCCACGAAGGCTCGGTAAATGTAAGAAGAAATTCCATGGAATTATTAGCATGAGAAACTGGAATAACTTTGTTTAATGTATTCTATTAAGTACTATTACTGAAAATAAGAATAAATTTTTAAAAACAATTGAAAGTATAGATAATGCACATAATAAAGATAGTAAGCCAGTTTGATAAAAAACAATTATAGATTGATTAAATTAGCTATTGATAACCGGAGTAATAACAAAATTTAATTGAATTAATGATCGGTAAACGTAATAGCAATTAAAAATTGAACGTAACTCAGTTAATGATTGATAAACGTAGTAATAGTTAAAATAGAACTTGGCTCAGTTAACGTTTGTTTATTGCTAAGCACAAACCTTGTAAGTTTTTACATTTTCTGTTAAGCTACAGTGGGGCCTCACTTAATGATTGATAAATGTAGTAACACTTAAAATAGAACGTATCTCAATTAATGATTGATAAACGCAGTAGTTATTAACACGATACATTAATTCAGTTAATGATTTATAAACAAAGTATTAATTAATACCAGAATTTATTCTAGCTAATGATTGATAAACGTAGTATGAACTGAAATATAATTTGGCTCAGTTAATATTTGTTTGTTTGTTGTTAAGCACAAAGCTACACAATAGACTATCTGTGGTCTACTCACTACAGTATCGAAACCCAATTTTTAGCGTTATAAGCTCTCAGACTTACTGCTGAGCCACTGGGGGGGGGACTCAGTTAATGATCGATAAACCTGGTATCAATTAAAATATAACTTAACTCAGTTATTGATTGATAAACGTAGTAACAATGAATAACAGAACTCAGTTAATGATTGATAAATGAATTAATTATACGCTGAATAAGGATGTCAAAAGGAAACAGATAGATATAACTAATGACTTACTTTTTATTTAAGTTAGTGAAGTCTCTATTTCTATTGCTTAAAGATCAAGAATTTTAAACAAAGAAGTTCAACAGCTGAAGGGAAAAGTGAAATTTCACGAGAAAAAAATAGAAGAAAGATATATTAATTCTGACCTAAGCCAGTACGACTTAATGTAATATGCAGATTATCATCGGAATATTATGTGAAGACAAGTCAGAAGACATTGACATTAATGTGAATAGATGTAAACATTTGTTAACATTATTAAGAGGTGATTTTCATACAAAAATAAAGAATATACTTTACAGACAGTTTTTTTTTATTAAACTATAGAACTTTCTTCAAAGAAGATTTTTATATAAAACTACAAAACATACTTTAGAGGCTGTTTTATATAAAACTAGATAATATACGTCAGAAAAGAGGTATTGAATCACCAAATATTATTGTGTACAGTGTTTTGGTGGCTGTAAGTTATTGTATTATTATTCTAGCGTAGCAGTAAATAAAATAAATTAAAAGTAAAAGATTTAAGGATTAAGAAGGTAAAAACTCCCTGTACGAAAATTATAAGAAGTAATTACGCAATTCGTTGAACATATAAAGTCAGAAGGTTCCATAATGTAACAGTTTATAACTAGAAAAGCTGCAGGGAAATATAAAATTGTAGCTGAAATTTTAAATCTTAATATTAATAAATTTACGCCATAATAATAGATTTGTTTAATATGTAAATGGAGAAATGCATTTTCTGAGACATTTTAAAATATCTGTAACTATACCAAACTTTAAAGGAGATAGTGAAAGTGATCGAAGTACATACAGTGTTCTAAGTTCATACAGGCCAATTGCTTTATTATCAGTTTTATCAAAAATTCTTGAGATGTTGTTCAAGAAAGTTTTAGTATATATTTTTTTTCATTCAATAATTTGTTTTTCAAATTTCCAATTCGGGAACAAATGGAATAAGAACACAGAGGATACATTAAATAAGGTGATTAACAAATCAAATGGTTTTATTAATGGAGATAATTTAACATGTGCTCCTTTTTTTAGATATATCAAAAGTTTTTCGAAAAAAGTTGCAAGAACTTTTATTTACAAAACTATAAGATAGAATTGGCATTGTTAACTTAATAATTTTAGTAAACATGATCCACATTTGAGTAACTCTTGTGGATCATAATTCATAATGTGCATTGAAAAAGTTTTTGATTCTTAAATACAAAAATAAAACATGCTGTAGAGGCGACTTTTATACAAAAATATTCAAAACATATTTCACGAACACATTTTAAAACGTAATGTATGGACTGTGAAAACATATTTTAAAATTAACTTTTGAATTGAGGTCAAGGAGATTTT